TTATGATTGTGTTCGTTAGTCATCAAGGGTATACTTGTTAATTGAACTATAACACAAAGATTATGTTTTAAACAAAACTTGATGTGCACGACAAGCTAGGATCCTCAGACGAATTTAGGATGGTTCATTATTAATTCCAGACATTTTTATTCCAAGTTAATTATGTTGCTTAGGATTTTGAAGCACGTGGTTATAATTTCATACAAGGAGACATACACACCCACATTGTCAAAATAGGGTTTGTGGATATCTTGAGGCATAATGTTTCACACGATCATTTGGACTCTTTGGAGACAAAGTTATTTTAATTATTTGAAGGACTTTGAAACATGATAATAAATTCAAATTTAAAGAAGAGATTAGTTGCTCAAGGTGAAACTAAGGAACAATGGCCATAGTTCAATTGAAAAAGTCCAAGTAAAGTGATTCATGGCGCCATTCAATGGCATTAGACAAGGTTCAGAAGTTCACTAAATTTGGTCATTTGAAGTACATGTTACATTAACCACGTCCATAAATGCATCCAAACTTCATCCAAGGACCTTAAAATTGTAAGGCCATTACATTCAAATTACATTCAGTATTCATCCAAGTTTTATATCAATAGATCAAAATTCAAATTTTGTTCCTCATGATTTATTACACTAAATATAAAGCCATTACAAAATTGTCAAAATAAATCACAAAAAGCTACATTCAGCCTTTGGTTTCTAATCATAAGTTTCCGCATGCTCCAATTTTTTCTGTGTACCTTCAAGTACTCATACCAACCTGCATTCATACTTCCCATTCTGCAATCCGGGCCGCTCAAGATACGGCATAACAATGCTTTAATAAGACGGCTTCGAAAATGCGACTTGCAGCCCGCTTAGGCCTTGCTGCAATATATCAAAGGAAAATCAGAAATCATTAACTCATGGACAAGCCTTATACACATGATTGCAGCCCTGCAAATTGTAATGAAAACAATTCATAATTGCTATGATTTAATCCCCAAAATCAGTTCCATTCATAAAACCAGTTTCACTTAAAAAGCATAAATATAAATCAGGAAAGGGTGGAAACCGTGGAAAAAGGGAGAGGCCAAATCGGAAGTGAATCAGCTAACCCCTAACAGAATTTCCTAACCAACTTCCTAATCTCCAACAGTTCATAACTTCCTTAATCGTTTTCTAACCAGTTTCCCAACCTTCCAAAACAGTCTGCTTCAACCTCCTAATCGATTCAACCAACTTTCATTATCAAGACAATCTCTAACAGTTTCCAACCAGAAACTAACAGCTCTAACCATAACCTCCTATAACCTATAAAAGAATTCTAACAGAATCATAACAGAAACACCTTCCTAACTATTAACAGAATCAACCAACTTCACTAACAAACCGAAACAAATTTCAACTAACCTAACCGCCTAACTGTTTCATAACAACCTCCAAACAGAACTTCATAACAGAACCGAAACCTGTAACTAACTTTCAGAGGAGCCCCTAAATGTTTCTAACAGAACCCCATAACTGCCCATAACAGAAAATCAACTAGCCTATAACAAAAAAATAGAAAAAGTCATAGAAAATATAGACTCACTTCTCAACCCCACTTTCTCAGAATTCTTCCTGAGTCTTCATCATCTTCAACCTTCTTAATCCTTCAATTCTTGGAGAATCACCAACTTCTTCTAAGATTTCCGCTTCAACCTCTAACCATTTTCATCTTCCTCCAATCCCTATATAACCTCTTCTCCACCATTTTTGTATCAGTTTCAAAACCATTTTCTTCCACTCTTCTCTCTCTCTCATATCTAACCACCATCACCAATTCTCATTCTTCTGTAACCTTCACCTTTCCCTCCGAGAACTTTATCACTCACTTTCATCCTTAAGCTCCTCTATGCAACCTTCGTCCTTTTCAATTCACTCCTTCTTTTTCCTTCAAAAATTCACTTACTATCATTACCAACAAACTTCTGCAACTCACCAATCAAAGAACCTCCATCCTCTATCACCAGAATCGTTCTTCGATTCTTCATCATCAAAATTGCAGCAACTTCAATCTGCTTCTTTGCAACAACTCTGCAACATCAATAATAACTTCACAGGATCCAAGATCTTCACCGTCTCAGTGCATATTCATCACTCGATGTCAACGCAACACAAAAGCACAACAATAATAACAATGCATCACGCGCTTTGAGTAATGTCAACAAAACACAAAAAAACGTACAACAATTTGTAGAAGAAAACCAAAAAAATCGAAGATAAGAAGAGATCGAGGAAAATACAGAAGGAGCGATAAGAAGAAGAAAACGACGAATAAAGATAAGAGTGAGAGATGTCCATACTTCGAGTTGCGCACCTTCGGATTTCTTGAGCTTCATCGCAGGTGAAGAACCGCCCGAGTGTCTCCGACACGTAAATATCTGAAGCATCTCCGTCTCTATCTTTTCCTCATTTTTTGATGCTATGTTATTCCCTGATATGTGCTGAACCATAACCCCATACATATTTCTTGAAATCAATCTTCGTTCATCGTTTAAGTTGAAGATTAAGCCGTTAGGTTTTGTTAATTCGATGTCAGATTTAGTTGTGGCTATGAGAAATCAACGAAATATGAGGCTAAGGCATGAAAGAGAAGAAGAAGAGGTTGATATTTATGGTGGTTTGGTGTAGTTTAGGCTCGCTCCACCGCTGGATGAGCTCGCCGGAGATCGCCCATGCGAGAGAGAAATAACATGAGGAGAACGACTGAATTGATGAGTGATCTGAAATGTCATAATTGGTTTAGAACGCAGTGTTTCAATTGTTTCTCAAATATTCTTTTAATTTCATTTTTTATATTTGATTTTAATCAAATGACATATAAATCTGAGTTGGGTTGGATTTGTGGACTGAATTAGGCCATTGCTACATGTATACATCACTGAAGCCCATTGCTACATTTTTGGACATACCGAATGCTATTATGAACAAAAACACTCATTTTGGACCGTGAACAAAAAAATAAGTACTCCTAGATCTCCTTACAGATGTACCTTAACGCCTAGATCTGTGCACTTGTCTGCACCTCTGATTTTTCTAATATCATTTAGATTTTAGTTTTTATTCTAGTTTAATTTTTCTTTTAATTGATAATAATATTTTTGAATTCTTTAGGACGTCTCTTTAGAATCTTCATTAGATTTTTCTATTATTTTATGTTTAATAATCATTTTCATTGTCATTTTTTAGCTAAAGATTTTATGATAGAATATTGATGTAACTTTCGCGATATGGAATTTTTGGAGATTAATTCGTTTGATCACTTGTGTGAAGCAGCTTCTGTAGAGTTTTTTTATTGCTTGCATGGTTTTGAAGAGGCAACAAACCTTCTCCATTAGGTATCATCGTGGCTTCACTTTTATTCCTCACTTCCACACTTTATCGTATTTCTTTACCACTCTTCTAGAGATCATGAGAAGTAGGGCTTTACTGCTTTCTGATGCCATGAGAAGTAGGGTAGAGATGTATGATGGGGATCTCCGTTGCTGATCATGTCAGGAATCCCTCTAGTTTATTTAAAGACCCGTCTAGAGAAATTCTGCATTGTGTGCATTCTGTTTGCTATTTATGGTTGTTTAAAACCCTACCTTTGAGTAGGTATTCTGTAGGTGTGTTTACCTATGATAAGTCCTAAAAAAGATGCGAGCAGGGAGGGTTCACAATCAACCCCCGTAATTTCTTCTGTGTCATCCTTAGCTTGTGACGCACCACGAAGCTTCGGAGTTGCGCCCGCTCTTGTTATCGAGTCATCAAGTAGGGAAGGGTTCCGTAATTGAACCACCATGCTTTGTCAGGAGTTCGCATTGGCCGATGTTGATACTCTGTGATCGTTCATATCTCCTTATGTCGTCTACCTCAATCTTCTATATCTCTATTAGGTGTTCAGTTGCTTTGGATGTCACATTTTTGTTTTGCATCCTACTCCCACTTGTTTATCTCGGGTGATACGCTCCCCTTGACTAAAGTATTTTGTTTCTTTTCCTTACTCTTTTATGTGTGTTCTCTTTCGAGCTTTCTTCTTTTATCCTTGTACATACCATGTTCCCTTAGGATGCGCTTGTTCTTTTTGGATGCAAGTTAGAACTTAGACTGCAAACCATGAATGCTAACATTAGGCAGAGATTTCCCTTTCAACCTTGACATAGGGCCGCCATTATATTGTATGATACATTAGGATTAGAAATAGGCCAGTCTCCCTTAGACTCTTTTCTTCCCTTTTTGCATATGTGTTTAAAACTATAACTTTTTTCTTAGAAAACCACAAAACATGCTAATCACACTTAAACCCTTTTTCAAGGTAACAAGAATACAAACCAACTCAAACCTTTTTGTGCGTCCAAGCACCTTTTCTCTAAAACCATTTTCAGGTAAGGACATGATTAATTTACTTATGTGCCAACGCGTGAGTCTTCGAAGGTCGAGCTGCGACAGAAGGTGGAATTAACACTGTTCATAAAAAACACAAAACAAACAAAAACATGTTAGCCGGACTACGGTAACTCTGATTCCTCAAAAAGGATACGTAAACATTGGGGTAGGGCCCAAGCGAGTACAACTTTATTTTCTCTACATTCTTTTCTCATTCCTTTTGCATGTATTCTTCCTCAGTAGTAAACAATAAGCATATATTAGGCACACCCATAAGATAGATAACAAGAGTAGATACCATAGATTACTATGGGCGTGTGAGGTGCTAACCTTCCCCTCGCGTAATAGACTCCCTTACCCGATCTCTCGATCACAAGACCGTGACTTCTCCCTTATCAGGTTTTCTCGATGTTTACCTTTCCCTTCAGGTAGGATAAAAGACGTTCAATGGCGACTTCATTGTTTGATGATTTTCAGCCAGTTGTTTCACCATCATCCATAATCCTCAACCGTTATTTCATGTATGAAAAGTGGGAAGATCAGGGATGGTGGGTCCAAGCCCTATTGAGAAGCTTGCCATACCTTTTAAGCATCTACATCCCTCTGGGTGCCCCAACCCATTTCAGGTGACTATCCCACTTTGGATGCCTAAGCCATTTCGTACCTCAAGGCTCATCTCTACCACGGGTTATTACGTCATGGACCATCTCTTATTCAGGACCAAATAAATCATCTCAAGGTATATTTCCTCAATCACGAGGCCTTAGAAAAGACAAAGTGACTTAATTTTTGCATATCGCCATCATGAAATTCAAAGAATTCCTCATCAAGAGAAGTGTGAGGCGAGTCCCTCAAACGAAGTGTGGACTGAGTCTCTCAAGTTAAGCTTGGGGAGAGTCCCTTAAGCGTGGCATATGGCGATTACCTCAAGCATAACATGGGTGTTGCGGAGCGAAAAATACATAAGTGTATCGCACACTCTAAATACAACAGAGTTGCCACTGAACTTTATTTATTCCAAAGGAAAGGAAAATATCGATAAAAACCACAAAATAAAAGAAAATGGTTGTCGCAACTAGATCGAGTTCAGGAGTCAGTTATAAAAGGGGAATGTATTAACACCACTCACATCAGTTATACTCAACGGGACCCATTTAGTTAATTTCGTTAATGAGTGTTAGCATGATGTTTATTTTCTATCTTCTAATTATTATGTGCTTAGAAAAAAGATAGAAGGAAAGGGGTTTTAGAGTTTTCATTATTGTGTCTGATGAGACGTTGGATCTCACTCCTATGTATCCTCTGGTGCAATGAGGAACTCAAGACTACATAGTTGTTAGTAAAAAAACCATGTATTTGTTTGTTGGTTTTAAAGAGTGGTGATTAAGTCATATTGAGCGGTTAAACCTTACTTGCTGCTCGCGGGTGGAGGCTAAAGTGTTCGTTTGTTTTGTGTCGAAATAGACAAAACATACTCATTTGTAAAATAGTTTTAAGAGTCGTGCTGAGGCAAACAAAGATAGTTTGATTGGTTAAGTATCTTTTAAATGGAAAAACAAGCATTTGAATGGCCAATCTATACAACTTGTATTCAAATACTTGAGGAAAAGGTAGGACATACGTCCATCTCGTCCTTTTAATTCGTTTATTGAAAACATGTGAGACGAATTGAGTCATAATACCTTAACAGAAAACAAGCATTTGAATGGAAAAGCTATACAACTTGTATTCAAACACTCAAGGAAAATGTAGGACATACGTTCATCTCGTCCATATAATTCATTTACTAAATTGAACAAAACTCCCTTAATTATCGTATTTGAATGGATTGTGGATATTCAAATGACCAAGTTATACAACTTGTATTCAAATACTCGAGGAAAGGGTAGTGCATATGTTCATCTCGTATGTCTAATCCATTTATTGAGACAAGATTTTACGCGTTTTTGATTTAATCGGGAGAAGGAAACTTGGTGTTGACCAAACGTTTAATTCATGTTCATTTCGAAATTTATTTTATAATCGACTTGTTGTTGATCAAGTATTTTTACTCTTTTGAAAGTTATTGATTTTAATACTAATTAATATTTTATTATTAATTTAGCAATTAAAAATAAAACACAAAATAAAAATAAAAACAAAAAGATAAAAAAATCAAGATAAATAAACAAAAACAAGATAAAAAATCAATAAATTGGACCAACAAAGAACAAATAAAAACAAGCTCGAAGAAAACAAAATGGGAGAGGGTTCTAAAATCAGGCCAGAGGCACTGAAAAACAAGGGCGAAGGCCCAATGGCCTTTCCCGGCCTACTAGAGAGTCGTCTTTGTTAACATAACTAGGGGCTTTGGATTGGCATATTATTAGGTCAAATAAGATCATAGGGTGGAAACGAGCTCCTAGGGTGAGGATTCCTTTATGGAATCCCTTGGTTAACTGGAGAAGTCAACATATCAGAGGCTAAGGACGCGCCACTTGGCATGATCGAGAGAGAGAGAGAGAGAGAGAGAGAGAGAGAGAGAGAGAGAGAGAGAGAGAGAGAAGGGGAGAGAGAGAAACTACATATACACTTCATCCCTCAACCTCCTCTCATTCCCTTAAAACTTTCTCTCTCTTATTTTAGCTTAACTTCTCCGATCTCTCTCATTTATACCATGAACAAACAAAAACCCAACATCGCCCCTTAGGATCTAACAAGGCGGCCCACCAAGAACACCACAATGGTGTTCATGAATACCACGACGACACCACCACCACCAACCTAGATTCACTTCTAACATCTACAAATCTGAAAAAACTTAATCATAACCCCCATAAAATCCTTTACTGAGGCCAAATCCAAAAACCCCTAAATCAATGCCAAAAATCAAGATTGGAACAATCAGAAACCTTAAACCCTAACATATCAAAACCTAAATTCCCCAATAAACCTAGGTTCTAATCCTATTTCAAACACTAATTCATCATTAAAGCCAACTGAAAAAAACATTAACAACACAAATTGGCACAAAAACTTTAGAAACTCTAGGTTCAATCAAGTACCTAATAAACACAAACAAGCATGTCTCACACCAGCATTCTACTCATATTCAACT